GACACACAGGCATACACATACACAGGCACACACAGACACACACAGACACACAGGCATACACACACAGACACACAGGCATACACACACAGACACAGACACACAGGCACACACACAGACACAGACACACAGACACACACACAGACACAGACACACAGACATACACACAGACACACAGATATAAACACAGACACACACACACACACAGGCGCGCACACACACGCACAAAGACACACAGAGACACACACACACAGACACACACGCACAGTGGTTACTGCGGTGAGTTTGGAGAGAGCAGATGCTACAGAGCCAGAGCCGACCCCGCACCAGAGTCACAGTCAGAAGAGAGAACATTCTAAATGGGGGGGGGGGGGGGGGGGGGGGCGGGGCAGCCCTGCCTTGCCACCTCTCACCCCCAGCCCCAGGGAGATGCAGCCAGCAATACTGGCGGCTGTGTGTTGTTTGGTGGGAACGACGGATCTCAACAGAATGCTGGAGGGTTGCTTTTTGGATTGGAGGCCTGTGCCCAGCAGTGTGCCTCAAGGGTCAGTGTTGGGCCCAGTGCTTTCTGTCATTTCTATGAGTGATTTGAATGCAAATATAGGAGGCATGACGACACTAAAATTGATGGTGTCGTGGATTGGGAGGAAGGTTATCCCAGAGTACAACAAGACCTTGATCAGATGGGCCGAGGAGTGGCAGATGGAGCTTAACTTAGATCAATGTGAGGTGCTGCATTTTGGGGAAAGGCACATCAGGGCAGGGCTTGTACACTTAATGGGAAGGTCCTGGGGGAGTGTTGCTGAGCAAAGAGACTTTGGGGTGCAGGCTCGTAATTCCTTGAAAATTAAGTCACAAATAGATCGGGTAATGAAGAAGGCATTTGGCACGCTTGCCTTTATGGGTCAGTGCGTTGAGTACAGGAGTTGGGAGGGTCATGTTGCAGCTGTACAGGGACATTGGTGAGGGCCACTTTTGGAAAACTGATTTACAAGGATGTTGCTGGGGTTGTAGGGGTGAGCTATAGGGACAGGCTGAATAGGCTGGGGCTAATTTCCCCGGAACGTCAGAGGCTGAGTGGTGACGTTATAAAAGTTTATAAAATCATGAGGGGCATGGACAGGGTGAATAGGCAAGGTCTTTCCCCCAGGGTGGGGGGAGTCCAAAACTAGAGGGACATAGGTTTAAGGTGAGAGGGGGCAAAATTTAAAAGGGACCTGAGGGACAACTTTTTCACACAGAGGGTGGTGCGTGTGTGGAATGAGCTGCCAGAGGAAGTGGGTGGAGGCTGGTACAGTTACATTTAAATGGCATCTGAATGGGTATATGAATAGAAAGGGCTTAGAGTGATTTGGGCTAAATGCTGGCAAATGGGACTAGATTAATTTCGAATATCTGGTCAGCATGGTTGGAGTTGGACCAAAGGGTCTGTTTCCGTTTGGCACAGCTCTATGAGTCTAATAACTGGAAGAGGGTGCAAATTACCTCCAGAAGTCCCACTTTCTCCTGTAGTTCCTTCTTGGTTCTGATCAAAGGGGGTGTCTTCAGCCTTTTGTAAAACGAAATGAAGGACAGGCGAGTTAACAGGAGGGGCCGTTGTGTAGTGGTAACATCACTAATAATCCAGTGAGGCTAACAGAAACACAGACCTATGTTCTACATTTATCAGTTGGGAACATTGGAAGGTTCACTCACAGAGTGCAAAGGATTTACCACGCAAAGCTTTTTGACGCACAAGTCAGAAGAACTTGCTGTTTATGAGGACAGCAGTAGTCCTTATATTTTCAGGAAAAAACTCTTGTAAGAAACAGAGAGAAGACATTGTTTAATGGTCAATAACTGCTAGTCAAACAGAGTCAGTTTTGAAAATTTGCCTAGCAACAGCCTCTGAACTGAGATGGTTTGCGTGAATGGGTTTGAGACACACTTGGAAGCAATAGGCAGTTTCTTTAATCTTCTAAGGTGGAAAGCATTACCCCCTTTCTCCCTCACTTGAGTCCCAACACAACTTTGAAAGAGGACCAATGGGCCGAGGAGCAGCAGATGGAGTTTAATTTTGATAAATGTGAGGTGCTGCATTTTGGGGAAAGGCAAGCCAGGGCAGGACTTATACACTTAATGGGAAGGTCCTGGGGAGCGTTGCTGAACAAAGAGACCTTGGAGTGTAGGGTTATAGTTCCTGGAAGGTGGAGTCACAGGTAGACAGGGCGGTGAAGGTGGTGTTTGGTACGCTTGCCTTTATTGGTCAGTGCATTGAGTATGGGAGTTGGGAGGGTCATGTTGTGGCTGTACAGGACATTGGTTAGGGGAGAGCGTGCAAACTCCACACAGACAGAGTGTCGCCAGAGGGTGGAATCGAACCCAGTCCCTGGCGCCATGGGGCAGCAGTGCTAACCACCGAGCCAACCTTGATGGGCAGCACATGCCAGGCCTTTGCAGTGACACCCACGTCCCAGGAAAGAAGGAAGGGAAAACGCTTCTTTCAGTACGGAATGCCTGTACGGGAGCGGTCGGAACCAACATCTCGCGGCTGCCTGGTGCTGAGCTCTTACCCGAAGTCGTGCGGTATCCTGGTATAGAACTCATTGCAGGCCTCTACCAGGGCCTTCCCGCTCACATTCCGGTTAATACAGTCCTCAATCTTCTGAAGGGAGATGTAGCCAGCTTTAATCTGAGCCGTCGTCAGTTTACCTGAAGAGGGAGACACCACAGCGTGAGTAGTCAAGAGAGCCGAGTAAATTGGACCGAGATTCAGACCGGAGTTCACTGGAACGAGAGGCTCTCTCTCGCTCTGTCTCTCTCGCTCTCAGACAGACAAGGTTCTGAAAGGGCTCAGTCAGCAGGATGGTGATCGTGCAGTGGTTTACAAAATCCTGAACGGCGTGGATAGGACGAAGAGCCAAGGTCTGTATACAGTTCTGGTCTCCTTACTTGAGAAAGGATGTACTGGCACGGGAGGGGGTTGCAGAAGAGATTCACTAGGTTATTCTGGAGTTGAGAGGGTTGGCTTATGAGGAGAGATTGAGTAGACTGGGACTATACTCATCGGAATTTAGAAGAATGAGGGGTGATCTTATAGAAACATATAAAATTATGAAGGGAGTAGATAAGATAGTAAGCAAGGAGGATATTTTCACTGAAGGGTGAAACTAGAACGAGGAAAAATATTGAACAAAAAAATAGGGAGAGCCGATTTAGGTTTGAGTTGAGGAGGAACATCTTCACCCAAAGGGTTGTGAAACTGTGGAATTCCCTGCCCAGTGAAGCACTTGAGGCTACTTCATTGAGTGTTTTTAAGGCAAAGATAGATAGGTTATTGAACAGTAACAGAATTAAGGGTTATGGTGAGCAGGGGGTGGGTAAGTGGAGCTGAGTCCATGGAAAGATCAGCCGTGACCTTATTGGACGGTGAAGCAGGCTCAAGGGGCCAGATGGCCTCCTCCTGCTCCTGGTTCTTATGTTCTTAATATGTTCCCTTCCCCAGGATTGGGGAGACAAAACTAGAGGGGCATAGGTTTAAGGTGAGAGCGGGGAAAGATTTAACAGGGAGCTGAGGGGGCAACTTTTTCACGCAGAGGGTGGTGCGCGTATGGAACGGGCTGCCAGAGGAAGTGCGTGGGGACTGGTACAGTTACAACGTTTAAAAGGATGGGGACATGGATAGGAAGGGTTTAGAGGGATAGGGGCCAAATGCTGGTAAATGGGACCGGATTAATTTAGGATAATCTGGGTCAGCACAGACGGGTTGGGCCGAAGGGACTGTCTCCGCGCTGTATAACTCTGAGTGCTCCCCCAACATCGTGAAAATCAAAAGCGCAGGGATGGGGCCTTGGGAGCGGTCTCGGGGTGACGGAGATCCCATCATTCAAGAGGGCGGCAGACAGAGAACTGCCTTCCCTCCGAGGGATGGAGTTCTTTGGAATTCACTAGCCCAGAGGGCTGAGGGGAACGGTCCGGCGGTCAAGGCTGGGATCGACACCCTCGGGAGGCGGGGGGGGGTGGGGGTCAAGGGACCCGGGGAGCAGGCGGAAAAGTAGATCATACTCAGTGACGGAGCAGGCTACATGGACCCTTCTTCCCCATCATCTCCGGCTCTGAACAACCAAACTGACATCTCAGGATCGTCACCATGGTAGCCGATTCAAGGGCGGCCATGCCTCTGTTGGACAGCTTCGTCAGCAGGTCCAAACTCCACAGACTGTGCAGGACATCTAAGCCGGTGACAACCGAGTGCGAAGCAGGAGCTGCTACAGTGACACACACGCCATCCTTCACGATTAGAAATTAACCCCAGTGTCCTCTCGGGGAACAGCAGCAGAGAAGCAACGGGAAGACGTCTCTGATCCCCGTGGGATCAATGCACAAGCCAAAGGCGATATCAGGAGAAAACACAGACCCTCAGACCAGAGCTACCAACGCTGTTGTTAGGCACTCGCTATGTGATCACGAGCATTACAAACCTTCGCACAAATTACTTCCTCGGCTGAAAAGTTGCATTGGGATCGTGTCCGATGGGAGTGAACGGGAAGGGGGTTTGGGTCCATTGGGATTGTGTCCAATGGGAGTGAACGGGAAGCGGGTTTGGGTCCATTGAGATTGTGTCCAATGGGAGTGAACGGGAAGGGGGTTTGGGTCCATTGAGATTGTGTCCAATGGGAGTGAATGGGAAGGGTGTTTGGGTCCATTGGGATTGTGTCTGATGGGAGTGAACGGGAAGGGGGTTTGGGTCCATTGGGATTGTGTCCAATGGGAGTGAACGGGACGGGGGACATGTTTATTGGTCTTGGGCATCCAAGGAGTTTGAGTGGGATGGGATTGCATCCATCATTGTAAATGACCTCAGTGAACCTAGCACCTCTGCACCCAGTCAGAACAATATGCACGAACATGTCAAGATATATCATACGTTGCAATCCAAGTCCTTATTCTTACCTAGCGGAGCTTTCTTGGTATCATATTTCATCTGTACAACCATCTCCTCCATGGCCTGTATGTTACAAATCAACTCAATCAGCTTCTGTACTCGATGGTCCAGCTTTGACTCCACCTTGGGGGCCTTTTCCACCTGTCCAACCTTCGCACTCTGTTGGAAGAGACATGTGGGAATCAACAGGTCAACGTTTACAATGGAGACTTTCCCCCAAACCCATAACTGAAGAGCATCGTCATTGCACTGGAAGGAGCCATTTGCTTAATTTTGGCCAGACCAGCTCCCTGTTACAGCAAATCATTCACCCTGCTGCCCTCCCTTTTTATCTTCCCATGGCATTGCAAATGTGATCAGAAAAATGTTCAATTTCTCCTGGGAAGGTCAACATTTCAACCTGCCTCCACCACGTCCTCGGGCAGTACGTCCCTGATCCTGACCACGTCCTCGGGCAGTACGTCCCTGATCCTGACCACGTCCTCGGGCAGTACGTCCCTGATCCTGACCGGGTCCTCGGGCAGTATGTCCCTGATCCTCACCACGTCCTCGGGCAGTACGTCCCTGATCCTCACCACGTCCTCGGGCAGTACGTCCCTGATCCTAACCACTCCCTGTTGTTGCTTTTCCTCTCACCATTAAGCAATGGCCTCTGGTTCTTGACCTTTCCACAACGAAGAAATGTTTATCCACCTCCACCCTCCCCTTGCCCCTCATCACTTTGAACACCTCCATCTGTTCTCCTTTCCACATCCTCCTCTGAGACAATTTCGCCTGTCTGTCTGACACAGAGTCATAGAATCGTACACACGGAAACAGACCCTTCGCTCCAACCTGCTCGTTCCGACCAGATATCCTAAATTATTCCAGTCCCATTTGGCCCATATCCCTCTAAACCCTCCCTATCCATGTCCCCATCCAGATGCCTTTTAAATGTTGTAATTGTACCAGCCCCCACCCACCTCATCTGGCAGCTCATTCCACACACGCACCACCCTCTGTGTGAAAAAGTTGCCCCTCAGGTCCCTTTTAAATCTTTCTTCTCTCACCTTAAACCTACGCCCCTCTAGTTTTGGACTCCTCACCCGGGGGGAAAAGACCTTGGCTGTTCACCCTGTCCATGCCCCTCATGATTTTACAAACCTCTATATAAGGTCACCCATCAGCCTCTGATGCTCCAGGAAAAACAGCCCCCCAGCCTATTCAACCTCTCCCTGTAGCTCAAACCCTCCAATCCCGGCAACGTCCTTGTAAATCTTTTCAAGCAATTTCAAGCTTAACATCTTTCCCGTAGCAGGGAGACCAGTAGTATTCCAAAAGTGACCTAACAAATGTCCTGTACAAGTCTCTCATCTCAGGATCCATTCTCATTAAATCTTTGTCCTGATGAAAGATGAGAACCTTCCCATTAAACCATCGCCTGAAAAAGGAGCAGATACATTCCCACACACCTCGTCTGGAGGGGCATCTCCACTGTAATCCCGACTCAACAGGTCATACTTCCCAGCGACCTTCTCGAAACACGCTCGGTTTGACCAGCTGTTCTTAGTCTTATCCAGGAACCTGGGAGGGACAGACGGGTGAAAGGTCCAGGCACCAGGCTGAAAGTCAAACAGCATCCCGCCCTGCAAACTGAGCACGAGGCACCCCTCCCGGGATTCCAGCCTTAGGACCAGCTGGTCAGATCGCAGGTCTCTGCTCAGCGTTCAGTTGGAAGCAAAGCACGCACGGCTCTGAGTGGGTGAGTGTAAAGGGAGCTTTACTCTGTATCTAACCCCATGCTGTCCCTGTCCCTGGGAGTGTTTGATGGGTGGGACAGTGCAGAGGGAGCTTTATTCTGTATCTAACCACGTGCTGTCCCTGGGAGTGTTTGATGGGGGGGTCAGTGTAAGGGGGCTTTACCCTGT